TGGGCAGCAATTAATGTACCTATATTCCTTGCTGGGGTCTTCTAGTCTTCTATTCCCAACATGCCTATGCTATGCCTGGAAACCCTATATGACTGTAATTCTGAACAACTTAACTTTTTTCCAGTAAGAATATCAAGGCAGAAGGTGGGAAGGAGGGGATATTATCTCCAGGGAAAATAGTTTTTCAACAATATAACTTTGATAAACCTCTTTAAAGTGCCCCAAGAAAACTTTTTAAGTCCATAGACAAATATCTCCTAATGGCATAATTCCATGCCTAAAATCTTTAAACATGCCCAAATTTAACCACTAAAACCTTCTTTCCTGCATTATATATTTAGACACAGCCTGTATAGGGGTGTCAACAATTTTATATAATTAAAGTCCAGATATGATGGATAGCAATTAAGTTCTAAGCTATAGATTGTACATCTGAAAAAGGCATGGTCTCCAGGAAGGTGTTTTTCTTCTATAGAGACAGGACTCTGAAAGCATATGAACAATCCATATACAATTCATGTGTTAATTTAAAATATATGAGCTCAGTGTTTGTAGCCTAGCAGCTCCTTTCCCTTGGAGGAATGCCAAGCAGTTTGCAAATAAATCCTGTTAGTTAAAAACCATATAATCACATGGGCCTATTGGATAAATATGCATCAGTGATTATATACTTATATTTCAGTCTTATCAAAAGTGAATCACAGTTTCATTTGATGTGTTTATCTAGTCTTTTTAAATATTCTTTGGGAATATTCTCTCTGAAGACCCACTGTTGCACTTATAAATTTGACATTTAATAAATGAGCTAGTTCTATGCACACTGATTTTTAAAGGCATTTCTGAATAAACTAATACTTAAAATGTCCAAGGTAACGTCTATGTAGCAATAGATTTTTATATTTAATATATATTTTTGACTAATTAAAAGTGAAAATTGTTACCTGAACTGGATATTCATACTATTTTAAGGGAAAGTTCCTTACATTTCAATAACAAAGAAAGAAGCTGTTACCATTGTCCTCCTACTCAACTAAAATTTCATAATTGGCTTTAGTCCCAAAAGAATTTTGAACAATGTGACATAAATAAGTAATTTAAAACTTATTTTGTTTTATTTATACTTTATAATAGATATGATTGATTATGGACAACTTAAGATTTCTTTTTGCCACTTAAAAGATCTTATATTTCTAGAGTTCCAGGTCTATGTGGAAATCATTACACTTGGGCCAGTAAATGAGTTAGTTCAGATGTGCTGAGAAAAGTAAATAGTGGACCCTAAATATATTGCATGTACATTTATCTATTTCTCTGTTTAATGCCACTTAATTTTGTAATAAATGAGAAATGAAACCCTATGTATCAATGGAAAAATCCTTCTTGCTTCAGATTTCCCAACTTTATTCTGGAGGAGAAAAAATTTTTTATTTCTCATGAACAAAGATAGAAAAAGGTCATGTACTTATGATGGTCACATTCATATTGGGCATTGGATCCTATTTAAGCCAGAAGTATAACAGAGAATCAGTTCCTTAAGTGTAAATATGTTCTTGAATGTTTGGCCAAGTTATCTGTTGTTAAAATGTGTTAGTAATTCTCATATTTTGCAAACAGGTCCTTTGTGTATATTATAAAATATATACCAAATCTGTTTTTCCTTTTGCTGTGGAAGATGTCTTTATATAATAGTGAGACTTCCCTTGCAAATGGGAGAGGAGACTGGTCAGGTGTAGTAGGTAGGCCTAGCCCCATGCATTAGGAACTCAAAAAGTCAGAAATCCACATTTACTCAAGTCATGATTTCATTCTAAATTTAGTTAAAACTACAAATATGAAAAAAATAGAACTTTCCATTGGAATTTTTTACAATCAGGTAATGTTTTAGCAACTTCAAATCAGCATTTAAGTTGATTTTATTACCTATCGAAGAACCAATAACCTTTTCTTTTTCTGCAGTAAAGAAAATGAAGTATCCTTTATTTTCCACATGTATGAAGCACAAATGTGATATAGTTACTTAAAATATAAAATACTTTAAAATGAATGTAAAGAATGGGAAAATATATTTTTGCATGAAAACAGACTGCTTACAAATGTGCTTAATATTTCAGGAAAAAAAGAATGAATAATCGTATATAAAATTGGCTGTATTTCTTTGCAAGTTATAATTTTAAGGAAGCATTTACATGAAAAGAAAAAAGTACCCTAGTGGTCTGAATTTTCTCTCAAGTATGCTAGAAAATCCTTTCTGTGAATCTGCAATTAGCTGCAGTAAGAAGTGGTTTAGCATTCAAGCAAGGTCAGTACCCCAAATGAGAAACTCTTCAGTTAGAACACATTAATGGTTGTAACACAGAGGCAGTAAATAAGTTTTTTAAATGAGCATTTCTAAACTTGGTCCTAAATGGAAAGGGTTTCATGTGGTGACAGTGGCTTTTAAACATTCATTTGAGTGATTATTCTAATTTTTCTTGTTAAATCATTGCAACGGTTGCATGAGGGAAAATAGATATTTTTTGAAGAATTGCTTATTCTACTTTCAATTTTTAAAAATTGAGGGGATTAAAATATTACTTTTTAAATATGCATAAAAGTATCTTAACTGTAATTATATTTTCAGTTGCTTTGTTATAATAGCATGCATATCAAATATAAAATGCATTTATGAAAATTTTTGTAAAAAATAAAAGATTTTTCATTTACCAAAGTTGTTTATAATTACTATTTTATATATTTATATAACATAATCCCCTCACGTGAGTATATTTGGTAATTATCAATCACAGTGCTTGTGGTAAACATAGTATCAAGCTACATTACCAATAAGTATACTTTACATCCACACTCTGTGTCCTCTGTTAAAGTTCCACAAACTCCAAGAACTTATGGTGCATCCAGAGAGGAGCTCCTTTGCCCAGGCCTCTGCTGAAACTTTTGCTATTGTCAGATAACTCCTGGATTTAAATTATTTTTATGAATACATAACAAATAACTATCTTCCAAATTTTCCATCATGATGGCCTTTAAAATACCATTTCCATGTATTTTACTCATATTCAGAATAATGGATACAATTTCATAAAATGATGAATTCTGCTGTGTCCAAGATATGCAGATTCTGCCTTGTCCATATTTTTGCTATCATCCATTCCTCCCTATTGTCACAGCCGTCACTGTAGTTTGTGCCACTCTTATCTCTTGTCTGGACTATTACATTGCTTTCTTAACTAGCCTTCATGTTTCCACCCCAGCATCCTCAAATTTCCCCACCCACGTTTCAGCCAGGGCAATCTTTCTAAATTGAAAATCTAGTCATGCTGTTTTCCTGCTTAATAGTCCTTCAGTGACTTCCCATGGTTGCCAGGATAAAGGTCAAACTCCCTGGTTCAGCACTCAATAACTAGCACCTCCTTCCTCCATGGAGCCTCAGCTCCAATCATACCAATTACTTTTTGTAGATCCCTAAAAGCATCATACTTTCCTGTGCCGACATGCCTTTGCACATACAGTCCCTTTCTCCTAGAATGCCCTTTCCTCTAATTTCCCTGCCTAACTCCTACTATTCATCTTTTAAAACTCAGATTTCAGCATCCTTTTCTCTGAGAAACTTCTCATGTGGTTGATTGGTTGAGGGTCCCTTTGCCCCACCCCCATTTAGACTGAGTTGCTTGAAGTTTTAGGCCCAGTGCAGCTCTGGCTCATAGTATATGCTAAAGAAATGCCTATTGAAGGAAAATCCACTTGGTCTTTTTCATAAGTTGCATAACATTAAAACTGCAATACCTGAAGGTACATTTCCTCTATCACTGTAATTTATTCCATTCTTATCATCCAAGCAAAAATAAACACCACAAAGATGCTCAGTGGGTTACTCCATAAGAAAACACCATTCAAAAACATTTCCTTTGGACTCCAGGGAATCCCAAACCCACAAACTGGCTGTTTTCCCAAAAGATATGTTAAGAAATCTCTTTGACATTTGTTTTCCCATGGAAGTTAATATCTCCATGACCATTTTAAACGTAGTCAAATCCACCATGTGTTGAACTGACATGCTGATTACTGAGTTCTGGGTCTAGGTGTGGAAGCAGTGCAATGGGGAAATAGAAGAAGTTTAACACTCATAACTGAACACTTGTATTGGTGTTTGTGTATTTGGAAGTGAAGTATGGGGAGATAGATGACTGAATTTGAGGTATCTCTGCCCTACCTCATCCTTTCATAGGGGACATGTTTCATTCCCCCCTTATAGGTTGACTCCAAGTGAAGTGTCAAAGAGACCAAATCTGTCTCTAATTCCTTCACCTCCCCTTGCTACCGAGGAATTCAAGCTCCTCTCTTTGCTCCCCCTGCCTTTCTCCCTGGCATGTGTTAGGAAGAACGGGAGTATGACAAGTACAGCAGCCAGATGCCAGGAGAACCATGTTCCCTATGCCAATAATTTTTTAAATAGCTTCCCTACACTCTGGTTTCCTCAGTGGCAAAATGAGGGGGCATCTAGATCATCTCCAAGGATCTTTTTGGCTAAAGAAATCAAGCAGATATGACATGGCAGAATCCAACCAGGTTGATCTCTGACTTCATCCCATCCAGGATCCTGCTTGATGCCCTCCTCCTTGATCTGAGCACTTGGTTTCCCCTCTGGCTGCATGCTTGGTTCATCTAGGCAGCATGCTCAGGTTACATGACTTGAGGGTTCATGGCAACTGAAAAACAACTCACAACTTTGTTACATAAAAGTTGAACCAAGGCTGGGCAAGGTGGCTCCCACCTGTAGTCTCAACACTTTGGGAGGCCAAGGAAGATCACTTGAAACCAGGAGTTCAAGACCAGTGGGGATAACATAGCAAGACCCTGTCTCTATAAAAAAAAAAAAAAATTTAAAATCAGCTGGGCACGATGGCATGTGCCTGTAGTCCTAGCTACTCAGGAGGTCAAGGTGGGAGGATCACTTGAGCCCCGAGTTTGAGGCTGCAGTGAGCTATGATTATACCACTGGACTCCAGCCTGGGTGACAAGCCAGACCCTGTCTCAAAAAAACAAGAAAAAAAAAAAGTTGAAACAGATTGGTCTGGTGCAGCAACAAGTTATGGCCCAGGGCACTAGAAAGAGAGCCCCTATGATATCTTCTACCTTAACCACAAGGTTGCCCAGATGTCCAGAGATGGATCCTGGACACAGGCTAAGGGACTCTGTCACCCAGAAGCAGCCTCCTAGAGCCGGGGATCTTCAGAGGTTTGGTTAGACTCTTAGTTACCATAGCCTCCCAGTAAGTTGAAGGCTCAGGGGACTGAAGTTGATTCCTCAGGGAGAAGCTCCTTGGCACTTTAAGGTGCATTCAATCCTCTTTGTGACCTTCCTGCACTGAGGTTGACCCCTCAAAAGGCTGCCTGTACTCGTGGCCTAAAAGTCCATTGCTAGGCCTTATGCAGCGCTGATAGGAAGAGCTCGCTCCGAGGAGGTGTTGGGCCCATTCAAAGGAGGGAACGCCTTTACTCCTGCATGCCCAGATGAATTAAGCATGCAGCTACAGGGGAAACCTAAGTGCTCAGACCGAGAAGAGGGGCTGAATTAACTTTCTCCTGGAGGAGGAAAAAGTTTTTTCCAAAAAACTCCCATTTCGCTGGCGTTGAGGGAGCCTACACCAGCGGCCCTTTCAGGAGGCTGCGCGGCTGCTTAGTTCCTCCGCCTTCCCAGAAGCCTCTGCGCGGCTTCGCAGAGATAAAAAGGCGGGAGCGGGGCTGGCGGCTGTAGTTCTGGGGATTTTGTTTTAGCCGGATAAGTTGCTGTGGGGCTGCTCCGCGGGCCTAGCCTGGACGCCGACTCCCTGGGATTTAGCCCAGATCCTCTGGAAGGCAGGCCATTGAGGGTCCAGAGACGCCCAAGGCCTGGGGGAAGGGTGGGATATCAATGTGGTCGCTACGGGTGTATACCCGCAAAAAGCGGGCGGGTCAAAGGCTCAATCTCACCCCGACGCCAGACCTAGGCTCTCCCGCGAAGGCAGAGTCCCCACCAGGTCCAGGCTCAAGGCTCGCTCACTGTAAGCCACGCCAAGCAGCCCTGCGGGCGGGACTGAGGGCGGGCGGGGGTGCTAGGCCTCGGGCTCAGGGCCCCCCTGAAGCCTGTGGGTGGGTTTCCAGGGATATTGCCCTGAAACATGCTGCCCTCTCTCAGGTTCGAAGAGAAAAGGCGAGGCGCACGGGTTGCCTAAGATTGCAGAGAAAACAGAGCGGAGCAGCCGGGGAGGTAGCAGCTCTGGGCCGCCCAGGTACGTAGCCTCGAGTAAAAGCCCCACCCTGGCTGGCCGCCTCAGAAAACTTCAGTCCGAATTTTCTGCTAGTAGCCTTTTATTCTAACAGTCAGTGAAGAAAACAAATAACAGTGCTCTGATTTCGCTCTTCTCAGAAAATAGACCCCAAAATTTTACTGCAGAAAGATTTATTTTTAAAAAGGGGAAGGCTTCCCTGAGTTATGGTGGATAACATTGCATAGTTAATGGGCAATAAAAAAAAAAAGAGGTGGGGGAAGGCTTGCCAATTTACATAAAAGGAAGTGAGATAAATTGGTCCGTGAGCTGTGATTGTGTCACTGCATTTGGGTATTGGTGCAAGTCACCACTCTGGTCCTTCTTCCTAAAGATGTCCCTAAAGAGCCTTTCAGATTCTGAACAATCTGAGTAGAGACAGGGAGAGCCAAGTCCAAATGGTGCAAACTAATTGTGTTGTTTGTTTGTTAGCCCTCGTTTAAGAGTTACAGGAGAGAAAAGCCTACAAGAAAATAGGTCTAGTGAAGACACCCAGGATGAGAAGATTGCACCGTTGAGTGTATGTATGTTTCTCATTTAGTCGTTGGGTACACTTAGTGTAGAGACTCTCAGTACCTGATGTACCTCCAGATGAAAGAATAAAACGTTCTTTGTTCAGTAGATGTTACACAGCTCTCCAGTATTTTTATAAACACTGATGTGTCTTTAGACAGGGCATTGAATTTATGACTTGGGGTAGATTTATAGTCATACAGTTTTATTTTTCTCTTTCCTTTGACAAGTTTTGGAGAAACGTTCATAATTGGTGAATTTTCTGTATGAGAAATACAAAACATTACTTAATAACTAATTTTTCATGTTTTCCATTTGATTTTCCATTAACAATTGGAAACATTCATATTTTTTAATATGTAGCAGAGCATTCTAATGTTTATTCGTTAGAATATTATATAACTTCTTGATGTGCTGTATTTAATATGAATTCTGTACTATATTTTAAAACTATACAGCATTAATTTAGGGAAACTCAGATTTTAAAAATTGCTTTTGACTCATCTGACATTAGCATTAAACTTCATAGTTCCCTTTTTTATTGTTGTTGAGACAGCCTTGCTCTGTCACCCAGGCTAGAGTGCAGTGGTGCAATTTTGGCTCACTGACTGCAGTCTCTGCCTTCAGGGTTCAGGCGATTCTCTTGCCTCAGCCTCCTGAGTAGCTGGGACTACAGGCATGCACCATCACCCAGTTAATTTTTGTATAGACGGCGTTTTTCTAGATTGGCCAGGCTGGTCTCAAACTCCTGGCCTCAAGTGATCCACCCACCTCAGCCTCCAGAGTGCTGGGATGACAGGCATGAGCCATCGCACCTGGCCAAGTTCTATTTTTTTTAACTTAATAGTTCCTTTATAACATGTTTCTTGGGAAAGGCAGTTTCAACACAAGGCATTTTTTTAAAAAAAAAAAAAAAAAAAAAAAAAAACAGCTACTCAGGAGGCTGAGGCAGGAGAATTGCCTGAACCCAGGAGGCGGAGGTTTCAGTGAGCCGAGATCGCGCCATTGCACTCCAGCCTGGGTAACATGAGTGAAACTCCGTCTCAAAAAGAAAAAAAAAAAAAAAAAAAAGGCTTTTATCCCATACTTTAACAGTGTAAAATAGTCCTTGTATTTACACTATACAAAAATAGTGTTTTGAAAGTTTCTTCAAATTTTAATGTATTTCTTTCTGTTCCTTTTTCCCTGTGCTTTAAAAAAACTTACAAATTGTCTTATTGTATATTCTCATACATTAAATAGTCTTCAAAAATGTGATCTTTAGTGTCTTCATAGTGTTTTGCTTTGTAGATAGATATACTGTAATTTGTATTACTGTTTCCCTGTGGTTGGGAAATTGAGATTGTGTCCTAGGTATTGCTGTTATTGATATCCATAGACATTCTGTTACAAAAATTTTTTGTTGTACCTCACATTGTTACCCTAAGATAAATACTTTGCAGTGGATCACAGGTTGGATCATGTTTCAAGTTTTTGATTCATGTTGATAAATCAGCACCAACTTACCTGAAACTTTTTTATATATGTGTGTGTGTGTATATGTGAAATATAGATAGATAGATAGATGAAAAGTAGCATGTTGTTTTACTTTTCATTTCTTTGAATGCTGGGGAAGTTGATTTTTTTTTCTCAAATTATTGGCCATTTGTACTTTTTTGTGAAATGTCTATTATATATTAAAGATAGTTATACTTTTGTACACACATATATAACCAACGTTTCCATATTTGTTTACTTGCCTTTAATTTTATTTCTAGTATTTTAGACTTAACAGTTTTTTTAAATTTTGATTTATATATTTCCCTCTATAGATGGAAAAAAAGCCCCTCCCCATGAAGGAACCAGAAAAGTATTCACCTCTATCTTCTATTTGCTGTCATCCCACAGTAGTTAGTTGACTAGCATATTGTTGTTTACAAGATATGCTCATAGTATTATAATTTAATATTTATTTTTAGGTTTAATGTTAAATATCAGATTAAATCTGAACAATAAACTGAATGAAAATATTATATATATGAAACATATCCAAGTTGATGTTTCCAAGCTAATCAAATCAATATGGTACAAGATTATAATATAAAAATGGTCAATCTCATAATTTTGCTGTATTTTTAATTCTTATTTCCCTTAGGAATCAGTTACTGATACCCTCCAGGTTGATAGTAGTTCACCAAATAGCGAACTAGTATCAGGTAAGACTGTCTGATGTGAACTCCCTCAGCTTTCTCTCTTTCCTCCAAACATAAGCATCCATTCATAGCTCTCCCCATCTTCCCATCTCAGTGGAAGAGGCGTCTTTTTCCTACTCCAAAGTGAATCCTTCTGACTGTGCTGTAGATCTCATCCTGAAAGCCTTTAGGCGCATGCCAGTAAATGTGATATTACAGTTGTGATAAGCACTATAAAAGAGATTGACTTGAGTGTGAGTAATTGAGTTTAGTTAGAGAAATTAGGGAAGACTTCCATGAGGGAATGGTAATTGAATTAACATCTGAAGGAGAGTAGAAATTAACTTTGCAGAGATGAGTAAAGAGAAATTCAGGCAGAGGGAACCTCTAATGTGAGACTGAGCATTATGTGTTGAGTAACTGAAGAAGGCCAGTATGATTGCAGTACAGAGAGTGGGAGGAAATGTGATTGTAAGACAGGATTAGATAACCAGTTTGAGGCCCTGCATAGCCTTGTAGTCTACATAAAAAGAAATTGATGTTTATATTCAGAGTAGCAGGAAGTCATTGAAGTCATTTTAATAGAGATTGATATGATCACTTTTGCTGCAGTGTGGAAGAAGGACTGGAAAGAATCAGGAGTGCAGTTAAGAGGCTGTTCAAGTAGTTTAGGGGAGAAATCATGCACCTTCTACTAGGATGGTGACACTGGAAATGGAAAGAAGGTTGTTGATACGATGGTTGTTTTAGGTAATGAGACAGGATTTGGCAAATGAATAGTGAAGGCGATGGAAGTGTCAAAGATGACTACTGTTTCTGGCTTGTATAGCTGGATACAAGGTAGTACCATTCACTGAAAGAAAAGCTGGTTTGAGGAAAAGAATAGAAATTCAGTTTTTAGTATATTAAGTTATGAGTGCATTTAAGATGACTAAGTAGTAATATCAAACAGGTAGTTAGATATGGAGGGCTGGAGATAGAAATTTGTGAGCCATCTGCATATTGGTATAATCAAAATTACTTTGAAAACAAGGATGCCACCAGCACATCAGAAATACAGAGGAATTCTTAAAAGCAAATGAGACAAGATTGGTGAACATATCAAGAGCAGAAAAAAACCACTGCAGTGGTAAAAGTAGCTTTAGAAATACACTAAATCCTTGATCAGTAAATGCAAAAGACTGTGATAGAAGATGTCTTGAAGGAATTGTCAAGGTGATGGGCTAAGAACTATATTTGAAATATCTGGTCCCTTTTTCATTATATCCTTCTTATATTGGAAACTCTGGCAACTACCAGTGCCTGCTGCCAGGAGAAGACCCTGAGAATTACCCCAAGCAAAGTGAACAATCAGGGGAGCTGGCTCTTATGGGTGAATGTTGGGGCTAGGTTGAAAAACAGAGGAGAGTCTGAATTAACTCCATACTGCCACATGATAGCAGAGGAAGAAAAAAGTAAAAGACATAGGCAATTCTTATGTTTGTTAACTCCATAATAAAGTTAGTATGCCTCTCTGAAGTGGGACTTCTGATACGGCAGACTTCCAGTGTGGACACTGGCCAGTTAGGGCAGTGTCCCCATGTAACCTATAATACCTGGAAAATACAGGATATCTCCACCTAGAACACAAGTTCCCAGAATGTCTCATCACTCTTCCAAAATCTCCAGAAGCAAGCCACTATTTCATAATTTTTACTTACTGCCATATAAACAGATTCTCAGAGACATGAATAAGACAACGAGGAATAGCCAAACTTTTGAAGAAAACCAGTTCTATGGAAAAGAGGCAACAAATGCAGCAAACAGACCTAACATTTGAGGAAATGGAACAAAACTAAATATCTCTAGATACAAGAGGCCGCTGGATCCATAATATAGCAGGCTGCTATAAAAAAATTATAGTCCCTGGGAACTAAAAATATTATCAGATTAAAAACTTAACAAAAGAGCCTAATATTGGAATTAATTCAGCTAAAACTAGTAAGCTAGAAAATAGACTAGAGGAATATTTCCTAGAGTGCAGTGCAAAAGAACATAGGATGTGCTCAGGAAATGCTTTTCTCTCCTTACTCTCCCTTCTTTGCCTTATTAACTTTTCCAAAAATAAATTCAGGAGCCATTTCTCCTGGGAATCCTCTCCTGACCTGTTCTCTTTTTCTAGGTGACTTGTTCTATCCTGGTAGTTCTGTGGCACTCTGTATACTTCTGTCAAAAGACTCAAAACCACAGTGTAATTGTTTTTGTCTGTCTTTTACTCTTGAAAAGGAGGAAAATGGCTTTAAAGCCATTGAGAATTAGCACTACCTTTTATCTTCCTATCCCATGCTTGGAATACAGTTTTAAAGATAATACAGGTTCAGATAATTGTCGAGTGTTTCAGATGCTTGTTGGTTGGGTCTTGTACTTTAGTTAGAGAAAATACTGTTTAACCATAATCAGTATTTTCTAAAATCATAGTTTAAATATATGAAAAATGTCCTTGATTACTAGGTTTATCAAGTTGATGTTTGAAAGGTATAAGGAAATAGAGAATAAACTAACTTACAAACTGCTTGTATTCTAAGAGTTCATTTGCTAATTGATATTTGAAACTTGAAATAGTTTTTCCCACAATAAAATATTGTGATGGGCTAAGTTTTGAGCAGCCCACAGAATTCTAGTTAACATATGACATATGATTTATTGTTTTAATTCTACCTCAGAATCTAGTAACTTTATAACACATTGAAAAATTAAGGATTTATATTTAATGTTGAAGATTGAAAACACATTTACTTCTCTTTTCTGAAACCCTACTAAGACGTCAATAAAGGCATAAAAATGTTGTAAGGCCATAGGTTCAAAAAGAAGAGACCTCAACTGAAAGAGATAATTAATGAAAGTTTGGAATTTGGAAGGTAGATTAATGAATTGTAATTGACCTAACAAATCTTAAAAAAAAAAAAAAAAAAAAGGCTGAAAACTAGGCATCTAGAGTAGAGACAAACCAAGAAACAAACTGATTCAGGCTAAAGATTCAGGAATTAGAGGCATTACATATTCCTGGAGGAAATCTTTAAAAAAATATATTTTTTGGACTCTTTAAAAGTAGCAGTTAGATGCTTTGATCCTTTCCCTAACACACTATGGCCAGGCAACTATGCTTCTTCCCACCCTGGTAGTCTAAGATATTGAAGCAGAGGGACTGGATTCAAGGATACTGTACTGAAAACTAGCAGTGGCTAGGGAGGAAGGGAGTTAAATGAAAGTCTTATATTTTGATGTGAAATCCCCAGACCCCTAACACACTCAGGCAAATACATTCCAATTAGAAGATTAGAGGATTCCTCTTGTGTGCCCAGGAGAAGACTGTGGAATTTGTGTGTTCTGGCAGTATGGCCTGGTCCCTGTCTAAATACTCTTCAGTAAAATCCACTTCTTCCTAAGCCCCAGTTATTATGCCATTTTGGTACCTCATTCTTGAACCTTCAAGAATTACCAGACATTTGAAGCAAACATTTAAAATAACAGATCCAAAAAAAAAAAAAAAAAAAAAACTTGAAGGACACAGACAATACAAGAAAAATAAATCTTTTAAAAAGCCACATATTAATATCAAGATGATGAAAAAATGTTGTGTCCATGAAACAAGTGCAGGCTCCTATAAAAAGCATTCAGCACTAAAAGAATTCATTTAAAAAAATAAAAATATGAAATCAAAAAACATTCTGTAGAATTGGATGATAAATTTAAGGAACTATTCCAATAATTTGAACAAACATAAAAGAGAAGATTAAAGATAGAAATAGTGTCAGTGGTGACACAATTCCATAAGTATACGAAAAACCTACTGATTGTACACTTCAAAAGGGTGAGTTTTGGCCGGGCATGGTGGCTCATACGTGTAATTCCAGCACTTTGGGAGGCTGAGGCGGGTGGATTGCCTGAGCTCAGGAGATCAAGACCAGTCTGGGCAACACGGTGAAACCCTGTCTCTACTAAAATACAGAACATTAGCCAGGTGTGGCAGTGTGCACCTGTAATCCCAGCTTCTTGGGAGGCTGAGGCAGGAGAATTGCTTGAACCCAGGAGGCAGAGGTTGCAGTGAGCCAAGATTACGCCATTGCAGTCCAGCCTAGGCAAGAGTGCAAGACTCCAACTCAAAAAAAAAAAAAAAAAAAAAAATTTATGACGTGAATTATATCTCAATAAAGTTCTTATTTTAAAAAGAAAAAAGATGAGTCCAATGATTCTAATATCTAAAAAACAGCAGTTCAGACATTATAAACAGAAGGAAAATTATTAAGCACAGAAAGCTAGAAAATTTCCTAGAATTAAAAATGGTCATGAGTATATTTGCTGAAAGCCATTCAGATTCTGAATAGTATGAATGGAGATACTGGGAGTCAAATTTGGCTGGTGCAAACTGTGCTCACTACAATAAATTTAAAAAAAAATGCGAAGTTATAACATTATACAATGTTTAAATCCTCAAGATGGAGAAATTTATTAGTTTTCCAGAGAAAAAATAATCAGTTGCCATAAGCAATCAAGAATATGAGTGGCATTGGATTTCTGAAGAACATCTCCAGAAGGTAGAACATGATGGGGAGAAAAATATTCAGAATTCTGAAGAACACTGATTTTGTAGAGTCAAGATGGGCCCCCACTCAAAAATTGTCCTGGATTTCAATGCCATCCACACACTAAGAAGGTATGAAAAAGTATAGTACTCATATAATGAGCCCTTCTCGGGAGAAAGGTGACTCCAAGCAGGACTCAAAATGACTTGAGAATGCAGGGGAAGGAGAACTGGCCTGGAGTTTTCATGATGTTTAGAGGATGGGACCAGGTTGAGGCTTCCTGTGCATGGTTTGAACTTGCAACCATTACCAAAAGATGGAACATCAAGGCTCTCTTGTCACCCAGATGTGAAGTGGGAAGAGGAAGAGAACAGTGAGGTTTAAAAACTGTCACACGTAAGCCAGGTGCAGTGGCTAATGCCTGTAATCTGAGCACTTAGGGAGGCCGAGGCGGGAGGATCA